AAACGGTAGCTCCAGTGTCGAAAAGAAATTCTATCTTCCCTTTCTTGGCTTCCTGAGTGGGCAGAGAGATTAAATCCAGGCCAGCATCGGCCTTACGGTGTGCCTTGACGTGAGTCACACGATAGGCGGCGGCATTTTTCTTAACCTTTTTGGTCTGGTCTTCCTCGTCGCTACTATGTGATTCTATATTTTTTATCGCCTTAGTATTTGCGTCTCGTTTGTCCGTACCATGGGCGCGTGTATGTCTCGTTCCGTTATCGCTGTCGCGGCGTGTCGAGTTTCGTCGCTCGGGCCGTCCGTGCAGTGACCAGCATTCGTGGCGTGCATGCCCTGCCTTTTTGCAGTGGTTGCAATACTTTTCTACCGTGTTAATTCGTGGGCGTCCCTCCGGTTTCGGCAAGGAGAATCTATTTGCGTATCGGCTGCTTCGGCAGTCACGTCCGTAGTGCCCTCTTTTTCCGCACTTCTGGCACGTGATTCCAGGGTCGGCGGGGTATTTTGCGGTATTGTTCTCGCCGGGGCGTCGGTACGAGCTCTGCCGGGCGCTCGGGCCTTTAACTTTTTTCTCGGTGCTAGCGCCGGCAATCGCTTCCTGCAATGTGCTGTAATGCTGCGATCGCACTAACACTCTGATCTCTTCGGGCAGGCCTATTTGAAAGTTGCAGAGTGCTTGCTCCTTTATGCTCTCTAGGATGGCTCGCTGTTGATCTACCGTATGGGCTTTCCCGTTTTCCATGGCTTCATATAGCTCCATGGCTAAGACTTCTACGCGTCTCCCGAAAGCTTGTGCGTTTTCTGTGTGTTTTTGTCGGAGCGAGTTAAACTCTAATTGTAAATGAGCCGTGCTTCGTTTACACAAATATTCGCGTTCCTATTCACGCTTCAATTGTTCGTAATTCTCTCTCGTTCGCGTGTGGAAATCTATCATTGCCTTTCCTTTGAACTTGGTGCATAATATTGCCTCTAGTAGTGTGTGTTCGTCGGCCGGGTGGATGTTTTTCATCGCGTTCGAGCTCACGTTTAAGAATTCTCGAACGCGGTTTGCCGAATTACCGTCGATCTCGGGTATCATGCTCCGCGCTTCCTTTAACGACAGGAAACTGACTGTCGAGCCGCGTTGGTTCCGGATATCACTCGTTGATCTACCGTATGTTAAGTCTAGCGCGTGTTCGTGGAAGCTTTGAGAGTCTCTCCGTTGCTCTCCCGACCGCGGGGGCTCTTCCCGTTCTAGTCCGTTCACTTTAATGCGTAGTTCGCGAATTTTTTGTAGTAGTTCATGCAACATGGCCCGCTCCCTAGGGGACCCGTTGAAGGTGACCCTTCTGCTATTTAGCGGGCTCACGTTTGCGTTTTCTAGCGATTGATGTAGTCGTTGAATTTCTGCGTCAACATCGGCGTTAGGCGGGTCCGCCAAGATGTTATTGGACGTACTAGCGATTGGTTGCGACGTGGCGTTCGGCAAGGGATCTCCGAATGTGCTGGCAATTGGGTGTGCCATGGCGTTCGATAAGGTACGTCGGACGTGATTGAAGTCAAGTCGGTGTCGTGACGTCGGGGTATCGAAAATTGTGTTCGTATGTCGAGGGTGTCGGGGTCTACTAGTACCCACGCTATTCGCGGGGTCGGAGGTGTTATTCGCGAGTAAGCTGAAATCGCTGGGGTCGAACGGAAATTCTCGGTCGATTGTAACATTGGTTGGAGGACTCGCCTCACTATCGCTGCTCGAGCGGGTAAGGTTAAGCACGTGGCGCGAAATATCACGTATGTGTCTTAAGGCGTCCGCGGCGTATTGTATCACGGAAGTTTCTTCGGCGTTGGATGTACGTTTATTTAACGATAACGAGTTATCGGGGGTCAATGTTAAACGAGGTTGTCCGTCCTGGGACATTCGCGGACAATGCGCTGGTTAATACATGATTTGGGACATGACTCGTAGATCATGTTCGCGCTTAAGTATAATTGGGTGCGGACTCACGCTACGTTGAACCGCTGCATGTTGTTGTCCGCTGTCCTGGCTGCTTGGCTGCTCGTCGTGCGGTAGGTCAGTGCCGTCTCGGGTTGAGCTGATCTCCGCGCGGTGAGTCGGTGCCGTCTCCGGTTGCGCTGCTAGCGTCTGCTGGCGGGGCAGATCGGGCCGTCCTCGTGAAGATCGTTGTGCCGTCTCCAGTCCTCCGCTGCTACCGGGGTCTTCCTTTTTACTTATTTCAATGTTGCCTCGGGGTTCTCCTTGGTTCCTTGCAATCACTGAGTAATGGTTTCTTCGATTCTCTCGGTTTCAGGCCTTGGTCCTCTGCGTGAGTGCAACTAATGGCGATCCCACCGCTGCCACCAGTGTTGTGCTGCCGACTGGATCGGAGCACGGTAATTGGGTCGTTGCCGGAATTACACTCACAACCGGAAGGCCATAAGCCAATATTTTTACCAAAATCCTTTTATTAAAATCTATACAGAAACGTACACTCTGGTGGTTTACTCGAGATTGACCCGCCTTCCTTCCTTTCCATTCCATTTTATATCAACCGCGCTTGGCCCTGTTGTTAGGCCGTTTATTGGTTAGTAAGCGGTTTTTCCCTTAGCAACTGTATGCGCGGCTTCGATGGTTTCGTACTTTGTTCCGGGTATTCGTTTTCGTCGCATGCGGCAGGGGTTATCTGACACCTTGCCGCGTGCGAGGTCGTCGTCTGATGTGCGGTGCATCGCACTCATGACAATTTATTGTAATATCTATGTTGATTACATGTCTTCTAAAAATAAATGATAAAATATTTACAATGTCATACATCTATTATACATGTTTTACAATGGTATACATTTATTATAATCGATGTGGATAAAATATATCTATGCTGATTAAAAAATAAAATGAATTTATAAAATATTTACAATGGTATTTTATAATGTCCCCATGGCAGTGTTTCTGTAGAATCGGGCACAACGTATCGCTTGTCATCGTACGGACTCAGAGCGATTTTCGTTTCGGCTACATTGCACACCTCATGCAGCTTCGATCTTATACATACAAGTCTGTTGGCGAGTCATTTCTATCTCATCGTTGAGACACCGCGTGGAATCGTCGAACGTTATCGATCGCGCTACCACGTTACTCTTTACGCCTTTAGCCTTCTTTGTATCTTTCTTACCGTCTACCCTCAACGCGTACATCTTCGCTCTGAGCCCGATGAATTCCGTCATTATCGCACCATTATTCTCATCCTTCGTTAAACCTGGCACTTTTTTATTAGCATATGGAATATCGTACGCGTTATCTGCCGGATAATCGCTCGTGTCAAATCTATGAATATCACGTTTCATCGTCTCGTACACGTCCTCGCACTGGATGTGATATATAAGGCTATCTGGAGACTTCCGTTTCCGGTGTGAATGAGAGTGACACGTGTAAGAATCGAGCTGGAATTGAGAGGGCGAGAGAGAGAGTGAGAGGAGCGAAGTGAGAGCGAGAGTGAGTAGAGGTGAGTGTGAGAAGGGAAAGGGACGAAGGGAGAGGAGGGAGATAGGGTGCGGGTGAAAAGGGAATTGTGAGAGGAGAAGATAGGAGAGAGCGCAAGGTGACAGGTTAGGGCACGGAGTGAGAAGCTCGGAGAGAGGTAGTGAGAGTAGTAGGAGCGGCGCCAGGCGCGAGCGCCGGAAGGCATAGAGTAGGCGGAACATAGAGGGGAAACAGGAAAGAGAAAGCGAGTAGACCAGGCAGGCCATAGAGTAGGAGTAGAGAAGGAATAGGGAAAGGAAATCTAGAAATGGATGAAAACAGCGGGGAAATACAAGAGGATAGAATAGAATTAAAAGGAATAAGTAGAATAAAAGATGTAACGTGCCGTAAATAACAAATGACTCTCCCCACCGCGCACAAGTTCCCCGGCACCACTCCGTCCCGCACCTACGACCGAACAGTATAAAAGACGGCGAAAAATCCACCGAGACACCAGATCCCGACCAGCGAGCTGAGCAGGTCTTCCGACGGTGACGACGCGCTGAGTCCGAATCGCTTCCAACCTCGCGAGTTGAGCGAGAAACCGAACCGTCTCTGATCCTGACGCGTGTTGAGCGTCTGCTCGAGAACCGCGAGCTGAGCGGGAGATCCTCTCCGAACCGTGTCACGCGTTGAGTGACGATCCTCTCCGTGGGCTATCGCGCGCTGAGCGAAGCCTGTAATCCTCGCCACGTGTTGAGTGGCTCGTATTTACAACACCCAACCTAACCGCGACCGCGAGCTGTCACCGGCAAGCAGACAGTATACTGCGCCGACACCGAACATACCGCGCCTGCGCCGCCCGCACTGAACCGCCGTACCGCGCCGAGTCCGAGCAAACCGAACCGCGTACGAACGCACCGGCCCGAACCGATACTACCGCGCCGCCGCCGACCGTATCGACCAATAAATCATCGCCGCGCACAGATTATATACCTTTCGGAGCGCTCGTGCGCCAGATCACGTCAGCGAACCGCCGTCAGAACGGCAATAGTTTATAAGGGTAATTGTAAGTTAGTTATAAGCGATACATGTAGTTTAAGTGTAAATATATTCTAGTAGTTAAGATTACACCTGACTCTCTCTCTCATTTCGAATTGCCCACCGCCGGACCCTCGAATTCCCACGGCTATCCGTTGCACAGGAGTTACATATTTGAACGGTCACAAAGAGAAAGGAAGAAGCGGGAGTACAGGATCGCTAGAGGAAATATGGAAAAGGAAAAGAATAGAGTTGGATAGTAGTGGAGGGGAAGACATATTTAAAAAGAGTAGGAAAACGATGAGATCGCCGAAGGAAGGGATAGGGGAAAAAGAGAGAAGTATAGAGGAAGTGTTGAGGGAAATGATGAAGGAGCTGAGGAGAGAGGTAAGGGAAGATAGCAGAAAAATGATGGAAGAGTTGAAGGAGGAATTTAGAGAGAGGGAGAGGAAGGCAAGAAAAGAAAGAGAGGAAATAATAAGAGAAGGGAGGGAGCAAATGAAGAAGTGGATGGAGGAGAAGGAGGAAATGAAAAAGCATATAGAAAAGATAGAGAAAAAAATGGAGGAGATGCAGACAAGGGGTCAAGGAACGAATGGACATGGAGGAGAGGTAAATGAGGAGGTGAAGAGGCTAGAGGGGAAGATGAGAGGTATAGAGATAAAACTAGAAAGGGAAGAGAGAGAAAGGAGAAGGAGGAATATAGTAATAAGAGGGATAAGAGGCGGAAAAGAGAGGGTAGAGACAGAGATTAGGAAGATAATGAAAGAAAATGGTGTAAAAGAGGAAGGGCTGGAAATTAAGAGGATAGAGGAAGGAAAGGAAGGAGAAGTAAAATTAGCGGTGGTAAAGATAGAAGATTTGGATGAGAAGAAGAGATTGATGAGAGAAAGGAGAAAGCTAGGAGAAAAAGGAGTGTAAAATGAAGACGATTTAACGTGGAAGCAGAGAAGGATGAGGTGGAAAATAGAGGAGATAGCAAGAAAGGAAAAGGAAAATGGTAAGAGAGTGTGGCTGAGATATGGATGGATTCAGATAGAGGGGAAATGGTGGAGGTGGGATGAGGAAGAAGAAGTAATAAAGGATGGAGAAGGGAGGATATGGAAGGAGAAGGGGGCGAATAGATGAGTTAAGGGGTGAGAAAGAGGAAGGGAGGGGGGATATGAGACAGAGAGGAAGATGAAAGGTATGGAGAGAAAAGGGGGGGCGAGTAGGGGAGGAGAGGGGAGAGAAAGAGAAGAACAGAGGGAGGAGGAAGACAGGAAAAGAGGGAAGAAGGGAGAGAAAGAGAAACGTAGAGGAAGAATTAGAAAAGAAAGAGGAAAAGAAAGGATTAGAAGAGGAAAGGAGAGGAAATAGATTAGGAAAGTATAGAGGAGAAAGAGTGAGAACAGAGAGAGAAGAAGAACAGGAAGTAGAGGAAAGAGAAAAGGGAAAAAAGGATGATGAGGGAGATAGCAGGTATGAAGGGAAGGGAATAAGCATAGCGTTTTGGAATGTAGCAGGACTAGGAAACAAAGATAGAGAGTTTTGGAATGGTTTAGAAGATTGGGAGGCAGTAGTATTGATGGAGACGTGGGTAGAGGAGAAAAGTTGGAAGAAGATGAGAGAAAAATTACCGGCAGGTTATATATGGAGAATGCAAGCGGCAACGAGAAAGAATAAGAAGGGAAGGGCAGCAGGAGGAATGACTATAGGTATAAAGAATGAGATAGCAATAACGGATTCAGAGGAAGAGGAGGAGTCAGAGGGAGTTATGGTAGGTAAGATAAAATTAGATAAGAAGATAATCAGGGTGGTAGGAACATACGTGAATGGAGACATGGAGAGGAAACTAATAGTGAATTCGGCCGATTTGCACTGACACTGAACTCGTTTTGCACTGAACTGTACAAGTGCAGCACTAGGTCCGATCGGTATTAACCTTTCTCAGTGCAACACCAACTCGATGCAATTACACACTGAACTCGCTTTGCACTAAACTTGTCTTGTGCGAGTGCAACACTAGGTCCGATCGATGCTAACCTAAAATTTCATTAATAGCGAATTCGGTTGCTTGCACTAGTGCGTACCGAGTGCACACCAAGGCCAGTTTACAGTAAATTTTTATACTTAACTTTGTCTTAAATGCATGTTCAAAGCGATTTAGCCAGAAAACAATCCGTATGGATGCTATACAGATCGTTTTACTGGCTACGAAATATTTCAAGAATATTTAAGACGCTTCGGAAATATAAGAATTGACTGTAAACAAGCCTTAGTGCGCACTCAGTGCGCACCAGTGCAAGCAACCGAATTCGCTATAAGAAATAAAAGTCCGCGGTTAGGATCCATAATTTTACCGCGCTAATAGTAACTGCACTGCAAAAATTGACAGTGTAATAAACTTTGCACTACTTCAGTTTATTTTGCGTATCCGAATACAAAGTCAGTGCTACACTAGGTTAGTGTAACACTCATCGAACATGATATATTTGTACT